ACGCTTCCGATGCGCGGTAGTCGGTCAGCAGTTTGTGGTCGCAAAGTCGGATTGAAGATGAGCATCCTGCGACACATGGGACAGTTGCCATGAAGAAAACGACTCGTTTGATCTTGAAGCCACTTTACAAGACACCTCTCATGAAAAACGTGTTGACAAACGCCAAGCTGAATGGTTGATGTTGGCGATATAGCGCGGATGTTGTTTTCGGGGTCGGGAGTCGCCGGGGTCGCATCCTGTAGCTCGAAATCAGCTGTTGTGTCGTTGTAGCAGATGATGCATACGGTTTCGTGTTCTTGGAAGTAGTTGTCTTGGAGGACGATGTATGGAAATCGTCCAAACATGTGGGTTTCGGTTCGAGAAGTAGACATTGTAATATATTGGGTGGCCGGTGGATGGCGAAAATTGTGACGATGCAACGCTATCAAGAAATATGTTGTATACAGATGCGGCTTGTGCTATATATAATATAGCACCTCGTCTTTTGAGCAAAGTATCAGCAAATATAACCATGGTGTCGCCTACTCAACTTTGGTTCACTGCGCGCACGTGCCTCCATCTTCCGAAGTCATCAAGAACCGAGGTAGCTATAAGTGTTGGACTTTACTTCTAACTCTATTACATCTGGTACGTTGCAGAAGACCAATCCCCGTCCAGGGAAGATGGTAGTCCGCAACCAAATGCTGGAAGTTCACGACTAATGACCGAGCGTGAGATCCAACTTCACACACATAGTAAGCAAGGTTTGGCGGCTATACGTTTTTCTAGACTCGTGCCATGGGAGAGCCCTTGATGGCGTGTGCGATTCCGTATTTTGGTTGCCATCTACTTTATCCACTAGTACTGTCATAACTCAGAGCGACAAGCCACTTACAACCCCCGCAATACATTACTACTATAGCGCGCAGGACTAGAGAGTTAAAAGGCTTTAAATAGACTATTAAATTAATAATGTACTATTAAGAGCCTATTATCTAAAGTCTTACTATTAAAGCTTTATTATCTATAATATTATAATATAAAATAATAGCTATTAACTAAAAAATAAGTAACTTAGAAAATACTTATCTAATATCTATTATATAAGAATATCTATTATAATAGTAATAGAGAGTAGTACCTTATACCTAATTTTGTAGACTCTGTTTAGTAAAAAGATATTAAAAGACGCCTAGCTACTATCTTAGAATAGCTAGAAGATTTTAAGATTTTAAGATATTTAGTATATATTACTATTAGTACTAATACTTAACTATAACTATATATATTTATATACTTCTAAGTAGTTTACGTAGTAGTTAAGAACTATATACTATACTAATTACTTAGTAAGATAATATAATAGTAATAGAAATACTAGTACTTACTAGGCCTTATAGTATCTATTCTCTAACTAGCTAATAACTATAATATAATAACTATTTTATAGTCTAGATCTTAATAGAAGTTATAGTAGTTTATTATAGCTACTATCTAATAAATAGTATCTTACTATATAAAATAACTTATAAATACTATATTCTTACTATACTAGCTTTTATTACTTTTACAAAGTATTTTAGCTAAAATATTTCTTTACTAAAGTATAGCTTTCTATAAAGCTAAAAAGAAAAGTAGTATTACTTTACTTTTTACTTTATATACTTAGTTATAAATAGTAATAGTATAATTAATTAAAAGTATTCTTTTAGTAAAATAGTTAATAAAATAGTTTTTTTATTTTATTTCTCTTCTAAATAAGAAACTATAACTACTAAAGAGCTTATATATCTTACTAATAAACTCTTTAAAAGTAAAAATAGAAAAAAGAATAATAGAAAGTCTTACGCTAACTATATATATAGTAGAAATAATAGAGATAGAAGTAATAAAAATAAAAGTAATAAAAACGTTAATAAGTCTAGCGTATAGCTTTATACTAGTAAAGTAGCTTTTTAGAGCGCTTATAATAGCTTTTAGTATAGTATAAATATAGTAGTTTATAATAGTCTCTATAATAGCTTTTAAAATAATAACTTTAAAAGAACTTATAGAGGTAGTAATATATTTAAGAAAAAAATAATTAATTAATAATAAAAGGCTTAATTAAGCTTTAGTAAGGTAGTAAGATAATATAACTAGTAATAAGATTAGCTTTAGGTAGACTTACTAACACTAGAAGAACTTATAAAAGAGGTATAGTAAGAATATAGTTAAGAGCTTATTTAATATATATATTAGTATAGCTTTTAGTATTAGATTTAAGCTACTATTTATATCTTTAATAAGTCTTTAGATCTTTAATTTTACTATAAGCTATAAAATAAAAATAAAAATAAGAATAGAGATAGAGATAAAGATAGAGAGTATATATATAGTAGAAGTATAATTTTGTAAGCTAAGATTTTAGCATTTTATTACTTTATAATCTATAGCTTAGTTAGTTATAAGCTATTAAGAATATATAATTATATTATAATTCTTCTTACTATAAGTAAATATTAGTATTTATAAAATAGTTACTTTACTACTTTAAATTTTAAAAGCTTTAACTACTACGCTAAAGGTAGTAGTACTAAGAACTTAAGCCTTAGCCTGTCTAACACTTATACCTCTAAATATAAGATTTTAATTTTTTTAAAATACGTTTTTTTATATACTAGTAATAGACCTTACTCTTTTTAGACTAGCTTTTACTATAAAATTATTAGTTTACTAATAAATAGTAATAGAGGTTACTCTTAAGTACTTTTATAGTATTATAATAGTAATTATTAGTAAGATATACTAAGAATTAAATATACGCAGGCTATAAGTAGGTAAATATTCTATAAATTTAGCTATAAGTATACTTAGAGAGTATAGCGCGTTAGTATACTTAGAACTTACTATTTATAGCTACTCTTAATATCTCTACTACTTATATTAACGTTTTAGTAGAGGTAGTAGAGGTAGTAGTAGTATTACTGCCTTTCTACCTTAGAATAGAAGGCACTACCTGCTTTAACAGGCTTAAAATTTAATATTAATTACGCCTCTAATAGCTTTTACTTTTATAAATAAAAAATAGGGACCTATTGCGCGCGAAAGCTATCTTAGAAAATTTAGGTATTCTTATAATATCCTACCCCTAACAACCCCCCTACGGTGCGCGCGACGGTATTCTATACGCACAAGGTACTACTTAAATAAGCGAGATCGCAGTCATCACACTCACGTCGACTAGAAAAAAAGCTAAACATGCCTGCAGCCTACATTAACATAGAAGCATACAAGATAGATAGTCTATCGTTAATGTAGGCTCTAGACCTGTTTAGCTTTGTCCCTGTATAAGGTGCACTTAAAGAGACGTTGCGTAGACGGAAGCTGACACAGGGTCGATCTGGCCAGAAATGTCAATAGGAAGAAGCGCAGCGGCAATTGGACGGGAAAACACGTTTGGAAACCACGCAATCGCGGCTTGAAAAAGCGTGCCTTTCAATGTGCAACGTTCAAAGGAACGGGAATGAAAGAGAGCCGAGCTAGTTCCATCAACCTTGTCAGTGGCCGAAACGTGAACAGGGCTTATCTAGGTACTCGAAAGTGATCGAGTTGTGCTAGTGAACTAGTAACACTACAGCCTCTGTTTAAATACGATGGAAGCCGAGGCCAGCGCCTCAACTGTACATCTGTTATATGTGACCTTGCTCTTGTGATCAACCAGATTCTTCTATTTGGTTTCTTGAGTTGCTGCGATTAGAAACCCGGTACTCATGGCCTTTCTTGTGTGTGACTCATGCTTGGAAGGTCCGGCGCAAGTGAAATGGGGGAAGAAGGAAACCGTCGTAGCCGTGCTTCTCACGATGGATCTGCTAACCTAAACTTGGCACCTGTTTATAGACCTTCTTTCTACTCAACCACTAGCCACGATCACTAAAGCTTTACCCTCAACTCAAATTCCTCATACACCACCCCCTTCGCTCACCTCAACCTTGAGGCTGAGCAGTATGTCCAACGACATTGCCATCGATGCGCGCCTTAGCGCTTTTTTCGATGAGAGTGTAGACAACCTCCAGGATGACCACTACGTTGAGCATGACGATGTATGCGATATTTGCAGGGCCGATCATACGGCTGATCCATCGGAACCCATCGAGCACGCATCCTCCATCACTCGCTAGACAAATCAACGAACTATTTGAGATGTTGGCAATTCTCAGAGAGCAAAACGAGGCAGAAATGATTCAAATAAACGAAGCCAGGACAGCTCTGAATAGATTCATGGCAGGAGGGGATGAGACTGAATGACCGGTTTGCGATGCGGAGCGTTATTGCGGACAACACCGCGCACGCGCAGCAAATTAAAGTCTACTATCTAATGGCTTTTTCAATATCAGCAGCGCTGGCAGCTATTGTGACCCTGCGCTGAACATGACTGTTCAAGTGGTCGCGGGTCATCGCCAGACAGTTTTCTGACCATAGGTCTTTGTCGCAGTCCTGTCTTGGATTCTGGTACAAGAAGACAAAACTTCCAAGACTAGAAAATATCATTCTGCCATTCCCACTTGGTCATGTTGTCTTGACAAGCTTGTGATCGTCCGGTTGCTTGGCGGTTTCTTATGTCTCGTGCATTCCGAAGTGTCCCGATTTCAGCCGCCGACCGCCTCCGAAAGTCCGAGTTGTACCCGATTCGCCACATGTGCAATGCTTTACTCAGGCTAGATCATGAAAACATGCTTCTTGACCAATGATCGTAATTACAGTCTTGAAAATGCAAGACTGCAGTGGGTCCTTCTTATCAAGGTATGCAGTCTTTCGGTATGAGGTTTTTCGGTGATGACTCGGCGGAACAATTGTTGGGAGCGATGCGTTTCGACTTTGCGATAGGAGAAGTATATAGTGAGGCGCCAGACCGACAGTTCGGGGGAGCGTATCTGTCAAAGCAAGCGAACGTTAGCAATCATTCTCTCTCTCGTTCCGAACCTACAAGTCTCCAATTCCTTCAAATATCCAATCTCACACTCAATCCCAATACCCTCAACATGGTGGCGCAAACATCCAAGCCATCGAGCCGCAGCTCTTCCGTGACGGCGCCAGTTGAACGCTCATCCTCACCGAGCATGCATCATGCACTTGCGACTTCTTCGTCTCTGAAGTCGATGCTCAAGAAGCCCTTCCAGGGCTGGTCCAAGGATCTCCTTCGCGCGAGGGACGACGACGACGATGACTACAACTTTTCGAGTGGTATGCGCCGTGGAGCTCAATACTACCAGAACGACGCCTGAGGTGGCCAAGAATACTATGATCCGCGACTGATGGAGGACGAGGCCGATGCCACACTACGGTCTCCCAAACGACCTCGAGCCCAACACCTATGCGCGTCGACGGGGCGGTAATATCGAAGGGGCACGTGAAGGCAGAGTGGTATACCGTGTGACGGTGGTAGTAATTCGGGGTTTTGTTGGGCTGGAAGAGCTTGTCACACCCGGCGGGTATGGCTGAGACGGTTGTATGGCAGGCCTGGCGTTTGTGCTGCGTTGCATTTGCTTTTGCGAGCGCGATACCCTTGATTTTTCCCTTAATTTACACAATTTGTAATGCACACTTAGTTCCACAATGCGCGTTATCGTACGAAGGATTGGATGTGTTGTGTGACGATACACACGACCAGAAAGCTCGTGGAGACGCCTGCCACCATTCTGACAATTCTGAGCTCGGGTTATGTCAGCAGCGCTTGACGCATCCGCTTCTCCCACTTCATCCCGAACTCCACCTCGCAAAATCTCTCCCAAATCGCGCACTTTCTAAATTGCGGCCTTCCCGAACAACTAGAGCCTGCATAGGGCTGGCATACATATGTGCCCTCGCTTGCGGTCCCGGTAAGGTCGCTACCCATGGACTGGCCCAGAGAGCGCCGCACCGAAACATGCATGGGCCATGCTGCAAGCCACAAACTCTTCCGTCTGTCAAGTCTAGCTCACACACGAATCGTCATTAGTGCATCGAGGTTACACGCGTGAAGACGAAGTATCTTTGAACATGGCAAGCATTCAACAGTAAACTATCTGGCTGACCGAGTACGAGAACTTGGCAGCTCTAACTCATGGCTTCGAGTGCGCATCACCAAGCAACATCAACGTCACTCCACAGCATACTCGGCTTGACTCGACGAAAATTGCGGAGGATTTGCGCGCAATTTCTCCTAGGCAACAGTCGCACGAATAGACGCAGCTAGACCATATCAGATGCCGGTGTGCCTAGAAAGGCGGCTTGGTGGTCTTTAGGGGGCCTGCGCCGCCCGGTTAGGCGTGCCGCATCATGCGCTGTCAGTTAAGCGATCAGCCTCCGAATCTCCCCAATAAGTAGACTAGATATCCCATACTCGACGAACCTTTTCTTCATCGCCAAGCATCACTCGTTACTGCCTGTCGTTCGTTGCCAATCTTTTTCAAGACTCTTATTTAATACTTGTCACTATACCCCACATTGCTCGTCTCAATCAACACCGCAAGATGTCTAAGATCCTCTCCGTGGCGCTTTTCGCCTCTTACGCTGCGGCTCAAACGACCGCTCAGGTCTGGATGCCCGGTCTAGGCGATATGGGCATTTCGTACGAGGGTTCTGTGGTCAGCGTTGACAACGACCGCACTATCATGTCTGTGGCTGTGCAGGGTATAACCCTCGACGACTCACTGGTACGTAACAACGAGTTGAAATCATCGATAACATTCACTGATCTGTTGCGACTAGGCCGATGTCCCTTCGACCATCACTGTCGGAGGCAACACCTACTATGAATATGACGCCTCCAATGACCACTACGGCGTGACGGTGACCGTCTCCGGCGCATGCTCGCGCCAGAACACCGACGAAGCGGAGGCAACCTGCACCCAAACTACCATTGGCCTCGAATCTGAAATGAGCTCTCTATGCGCTGACCCAGAATACGCTTCCTCCCTCTGCCCGGACGGTGTGGATGCCGCTCTCTCTTTCAGTACAGTGTTCCCCGAAGGCTACTTCGACCTGTTCGCCGTCGTCATCACCGAGGGCGGTGACTCCCTTCCCAGTGCCACAGCGGCCGCATCAGTATCGGCCGGCAGCGCTTCCGTAACAGCGTCCCGTTCCACTGTCACATCCGCAGCTTCTGGATCTGCCACTGCTACCGGCTCCGACTCTGACGCAGCGGCAAGCACTGGCTCGGAATCTGCTGCTAGCTCTGGAGCTTCCGCCACCTCCAGCGGTCCTGAGGAAGTAGCCACTGGTGCTGCCCACATGGTCCAAGTCCCAGCTCTGGCTGGTCTTGGTGCCGCAGTTGCCGCTTTCTTTTTGTAAAAGTTTAGTAGCGAGACAGTCGCTTTCATCTGCGCATTTCAAACGAGTTCTGGCTTAGCGAATACCCTTTATGCATCTACGCATCGTCACTGAATACACACGCTTATAATATCATCCTGATTCGTCTATTCACTTGTCGTATTGTTATCATGCCAAAGGTCTCTAAGAATCTGTCTCTGGTCTCTTCTCCAAGCATACCATTCTCTCTCCTTCCTTACCAAAGCAGCTCTTTCCTTTATCATCCGTCATGACTTTCCCACAGTACACGTGTCCCTCACAGTCTTCCCTTTTGCATCGCCATCTTGCCACGTCCCCACCCTTCTCAAGAAAGTAGCAGCCTTCTCTACACTCGTATCCCTTCTCAACATGCGCGCACCTCATATCGCATGGAAACCATGCGCTTCGTATAATGACTGTCTTGGTGTCTAGAACATCGATGTCTCTGAGTTCGAAAAGATCAAAGTTGGGATTGGTATTCGATGCAGGAATTTTGTGCCCGGCAGCCACAAGATCTGTGTTTGCAGACGGTTTGTTGCTGAATATGCTCGGCAACCAGCGCGGCGGCGGTCTAGGTGGAATCAGGACTGTCAAGGTGTATTTCGTGGTGCTCGGCTCCGTTTCGCCTAGAGGATCAAAGTAAGCCGACATATCCGACTTCGGGCGTAGTTTGCCTGACTACGAGAGTATGTGGACAGTCAAAAAGTCCTGGGAAATTTTGCGCGAGACAAGGTGGCGCAGTATCAGCAGACCGGATACGAGGAATGATAAGGTAGAAGCAGCTGTGTCCATGTATACGGTTATTGAACAAAGACTTGATGGTATCAGTGTTCGCATGTGACGCACGGTGTGAAGAGGCTATGGTCGACAAACGAATGCGTTGTGTGAGACAATGGTGAATGCTTGATTGGTGATTGGGAATGCGCTAACACTGCCGTGAATAATCCGCTTGCGCACTCACAACCATTCGGCAGTACCAGATTGTAGAAGGCACCTCATGCAAGGGAAAAGCTGAATAGGTCTGGAGCCTACATCGACATTAAGTCACCTACTTTGAACGTTTCCATATCGCTGTAGACTGCAGACCAAGTAGCCTGACCCAACTAAAACGAGTTCGCCTTCTTCAACCGATCACTCTCCCTTTCCTCCCTCACATGCTCATCATAGCCCTCAATACACCTCAGCCTTTCCGTAGGGCTCAGATAAACCATGCCACCATCTTTGCACCAACCCTCCCAAATCTTAGGCCGCCCTTTTTTCTCCCTGCGTACAGTTTCTCCTCCAATTTCCACCTCTTCGTTCTCCATGATACTGCCCGCTGCCCACTCAATAACGTAGTGCTCCTTCAGGTACTCTGCTTTGCATTCGCGTCCCGAGGCTAGGCAGTTGCAGCGAATGCTTTTGGGGATTACATCGCAGTCGACATCGAAGGTAATGGTTTCGTTGATGCCAATCAGATCGGCGTGTGAGAAACTGGAGTCGGAGAAGTATTGCTGTGACGTTGCGGGTGCGACGAGTGCGGTGATGCGAAATGTTGGCTTCTCTGGTGTGATCTTGAAGTAGGCCACGAGCGTGCTGAAGATGCCTGACATGGTGGGTGGTATGTGGGCGTGGGCGTGGGCGTGGTTTGGATGCGCTTGTGATTTAGACGTGACTTTTGGGATTTTGTTTGAGAGTAGGCTTGGTATTCGGGAATGAGGTTGTTGAAAAAGCAATGACCGGAAGCGTGTTCATTTATTAAAAATATCTCATGTGTTGACTCAAATGTATAACCATGGTTCTCATGTTCTGGCGAAGACCCCTAATAGCGAGCCACTCACGGCACTCATAATGCTTCATCGTACCAAACCCGAAGATCAAACGCAGAGAATATCATGGTAGAAGATGTGACCAAGGTCTTTGCGACGCTGCCAGTCGAATATTACTGATGCGCTGGAAGAGCGGAGACCGACGTCTCGAGATCCAGCACAGGAGTCGTGGGCCGCGCAGTACGCTGCAGTTCGGCGACGCTTCGCGAGATACCCATCGGTACACCACGTACAATTTTGTTGGCCGGGCTACTAAACCACGCAGCGTGTGTAGTTGTCGCGTATGCTGGAACCTGTTCAACTTCCGATTTTGCAGGTTTAGCTGCAGGAGGCTGGCGGGAGGACGGAATGGGAGTCGATACAAGATCATCTCTACCACCGAAGAGCGAGTTGAATATTATGCTCGGGCCTAGCGACTTGAAAGTGCTTCTCGTGCGGCGCATGGAAGACGGGTTCATCGGCTCTAATGTGGTATGGTGGTTGTCGCTTATGTGTCCTATTGGAGTTTTTGAGAGCTTTCGCTTGTCCGAATTCTCTGCGGCGTGCTCCGTAAAGTCTTTGATATCTGAGGTAGCAGCTTCTGGCTCATGTGGACGCGACTCGTGTTCCGAAACTGCGGACATATCGCTCGCGCAATCGGAGGATGAAGAACAGGCGGTACTGCATAGCGCGCCTTTGGAAACAATACACTTAGAGTCCGATATTGCAGAGACTTTCCGTAATTCTACACTCATCGAAGGGGTTGTGGCCATCGTAGACGATTCAGGAAAAAGGCCATCACGACTTGAGACTTCAGAGCATACTGTCGACGATCTTCCGCTTTCAGACGATTCTTTTGGTTCTTCTGTGTCGAAGGAGGGTTCGAGGGTAGGCGGTGTATTGGATGGCAAGTGTCGCTTCTGCTTCAGAGCAGTGTTTGACCGCTTCGGCCGAGACTTTGTCGCGAAGACATGAGACTTTTTTACCCTGCGTGGCATTTTGAGAACGGGGTCGCGGCCCAGCCGAGAACTTCAGAAATGACGTAAGCGGAGTGAGATTTCGGTCGGTCCAACTAAGGTCGAGGTTGAGCTCGGACGCCGGGTAGTTGGTTTAATGGCTGGAGTAAATTGTCAAGGAAATGAACTGACACCCGCTCAGTTAGACGGGTG